AATAAATACGGTGCGACATTAGGTTGGTTGGGCTTCTGTTATCCTGGGAGGGCAGTGGTTGAAGCAAGTACGCACATTCAAACCATCATAAAGGACCTGGTAGGAGCAGAAACTTTCTATACTGGGACTTGACACTGGGTATTTATGATCCATGGAAACATAATTTCTGTAATATTTATGCTCGTGCTACTCTGAAATACTATACTGAGGAATGATTACTGGTAACGGTGCTGCATTCAGTGTCTAAGACTGGAGCCCAGCAGCCTTTGCCATTCTGAAGGGGTGAGAAAACCAAAACCAAAACAAACAAACAAACAAAAACCCACTGCCATCGAGTCAATTCCGACTCATAGTGACCCCCATTGCGTTTCCAAGGCTGTAAATCTTTACAGAAGTAGTTTGCCTCATCTTCCTCCCCCAAAGCAGCTGCTGAGTTTGAACCACCAACCTTCTGGTTAGCAGCCAAATGCCTTACCCATTGCACCACCACAGCTCCAAAAAGGAGTCAGAGTAACCTTAGAAGAAGCCATGGGACTAAAACCAAGCTGGGAAAAGCAATGACGAAATTCTTTTGTGGCTTCAATGAAACACTCATGCTAACCAATATACCAGTAGCAGTCACTGCTGAGTGCACTCTGACTTGTGGAGACCCCATGTGTGTCAGAGCAGAACTGGGCCCACAGGGTTTTCTAGGGTGATTTTTCAGAAGTAGATCACCAGCTTTCTTCCAAGATCCCTCTACGTGGACTTGAGCCTTCAACTTTTTGGTTAGTAGTCAAAGGTGTTAACCATTTGTACCAATGGAACAACCAATGGCCTGGCAAAATTGGTCCCAAGTCAATTCAGGAAAGTGTTGACCTAGCCTGGGTCTTTGCTTAAAATAAATACTATTGCAATGCTTTCATTTCATCCTTTAATAATGGGGACAAATGGCATTGAGGAAAGGTCAGTGTCATTCAGACCAAATGGGCAATTATACTTGTCATTAGATGAATTTACAATGCTCTAGCCGTGGACATTCTACTCCATTCTGCAGAGGACAGATAGTGACATCTATACTGAACTATCCATACTGATGAGATCCTGTAAGATCTGAAACCAGAAGGCTGTCTCCTTTTAGTACCACCTGGACAGGTTTTATAAGTGCTCCTCTCGGATCTAGTTTGAATAGGAAGAAAAGCAGTATTCCCCCCGAAATAGGGTCTTCTGGACAAGCCCTTTTCCTCAGGTCCTTCAGGGATAGTCCCCAGAGCCCTGAGGAAGGCTCCTAGATTGACAGAATATTCCTCATACATCCTCGGGGCTGAGGATATTTGGAAAATCCTTCTGTGACCTCTTGTTGACTATCATTTAGAAACCCTGAAGAGATGGGAGAAGGTCTTTTTCTAAATTTTTTCCTAATTCCCTTCTGGTACAAATATTTTATACATCTAGGTTATCAACTATCCAAAGGGGATAGCATGGGTGGGGGGCGGGTTAGCTCATCAAACAAGTTCTGACTTTTTGAGTAACATTCCTCAAAGCCTTTCTCCTCAGAGCGTTTATAGAAAGTTTCTTTTATAAAATGTCCCACCCTGATGGTTCCAGGTTCATGGTAGTCATCTGGCTATCTTCACTGCTTGCTAAAAAAGGAAGTCTAGAATGTCTGAATTCTGAACATGCTACAAATTCCCGTTTTGTCCAAAAAAGTGCTCATAAACTGGAGACAAACGTCCCTGTTGAAGTAATAATTTGGTAGGCGAAGGTTATGATGTTGCTATTTCTTCTCCAAAGGAAACTCTCTCTAGGAAGAGCAGAGCATGCGGTCCAGCTTCTCTGGTCGCACTCTCAACGGGGCCTTTGAAAGTAGAGTCCCTTCTCCAGAGCTGTGCCATCAAGAGAAATTTTGTGGAGTCACATTTAGCAAGTTAGCTACTTTTGCAAAATCCTACACCAAATCATAAAAGTTGGCTCAGCTGCACAAATCAGATAAAACTCCTAACAAGTCGTAATAAAAATAAAAGAAGGAAAAGCCCGCATAAAGCCTCAAGGAGAAAACCCACCTACCTCCCACAGAAATGCCCTGTAGCTCAGAAGGCAATGTGTAAACTTTGGAAACATCAATTTGTTCAAAGCCTACATTTCAACTTTGTTCTCACAGGCAAAGAAAAAAAAAAAAAAAAAAACCCAGATGTTTGTATAAAAATATCATCATTTTATTACATTCCACACAATACATTTTCAAATAATTTCCAACGTCCACAAGTTATTTTGACACACAGGCAACTGAGCAATGCAAGGAGTGTCACAGTTACAAGGAGAGGGGCAAGAATAGGAAGGAAAAATCCTGAAGTTTTCTTGTTGTGTTGTTGTTCTTTGGTAATTTTTGATTATTTAGGTGTTGGCTTGCCTGCTAGTTTCATTTTAAAGACTGTCTTTGTAAAGAGAGGGTATCAACTTCAGACACATTACTGAATTTCCTATTCAATTCTGGCTTTAATCCCCAAAATGTGGAACAAGGGAAAGGAACAATTTCACTTTATTTTCAGCACTATGGTTTGTCAATGGCAATGCTATGATTTTTTTTCCCCTCTTTTTCTGCCTCAGCCACTAATTAGGTGATAACAATTGCTAGTATAATATCAAAGAAGGGACTGTTACCTCACAGACAAGGGGTTCCCTCCTGGAGGTGTTGCCAGGAAACCTCTAACTAAGGCAAGAAGCTTTACCAGCCTGAGCAAGGCCATGGATCCATCTATTCATTCATTCATTCCTTTATATTTTAATAGTTGCCATCACATCTTTGACTTCCGAGAAGCAACTCTTAACACATGCATGCATGCACTCACCTGTCCAGGCTATTTTTCTTAAAAGAGAGCAACCCTTCCCTCTCTCCACGAAATATGGAATTTTGCTTTTCAAAGCTGTAAGTTATGACATTTCTACAGATCTGCCCTTTTAGCACAGGATCTGGCTAATACCGTGGAAGTTGCTGGGGCACAGAGAGCAGGAAGGAGAGAGAGAAGGGGACAGGGGGAGAGAGAAGGAGGTAAAGAAAAGGGGAGAGGAAAAAGTAGGAGAGAAGCCAGGCAGAAGAGAGGAGGAAAGAGGGAGGAGAGAGAGAATGAGACAGCTCCCAAAGAGATATAGAAAGAGAAGGGGGGAGGAAAGGCAAGGGGGGGAGGGGAGTGTGGGGAGGGTGGAGAGAGAGACAGGGACTGAGAGGGGGAAAGAGGGAGAGAGAGATACGACATCTCCAGCTGAAGTAGCATGGGATTCACAAAGATTTGAGCATTCCCTACTTTCAGCTATGGCATGAACATAAAGATGATGTTTTCCCCACATGGGGCATTAGATAAAGATGCAGCAAGTTCACAGAAGTGGTTGTTGTCATCTCTCAAAGAAGAGAAACACTCAACGGTATGTGGTAACTCAGCCAGTTGCTACACTGGCTGGATTTTCCAGGTGTTATTTCCAGCCTCTAGGGGTGTCTACAGGGATGCCAGTCATTTTGAGGGGATGGCTGGCCCCAAACATACAACTGGATGTGGATGTTAGCACACCTGAGATAGAAAGCCCTTAGTGACCTGGCAGGGAAGTTGCCTCTTGGAATCCTGAGTTGCGGCCCTCCTCCACTCCCAGCCTCTCTCTCCATCTTTTGCCGGGGTAGGCCACTTCTTGAAATCTCAAGGGAGATCCTGCTCACTAGCCTTTCATCTCTTCTTTTCTTGGCAGGGCTGTTATGATTGAGCCAGTGTAGCTCTTTGAAATAAAATAAGAGTGGGAGAGCACTATTCTTTCAGGAAGATGAAATAAACCAGACGGGAAAGTGAGTGTGTGTGTGCTGGAGGGACATTTCTGGATATGCCAAAAGAATGCTAAAAGTCTCTCTCTCCCAAGAAGCAAAAAAAAAAAAAAAAAAAGAAATCATTAGTATTTTGTTCTCAGAGGGTACCCGGAGGCTTTCAGCCAGGCAACCATCTTTGGAGAGGATCTTATACTTCCCCAGTGGGTTCCTGGCGGGAAGATGAGAAATAAACGGCCCCATGGCTGAGCCTCGTTACACCGAGAATCTTGTTAAAACACACATCTTCTATCAATGAAATTGACTTCATTATTTAATACATCCTTTGTACAGTATCATGAAGCCGTTTTTCTCTAACATCCCTCTCCCTGTGTTGCTTAGAGAGGACAAATGGCCAGCAATGGTTCTACCTTCATTATACTTTCTTACGATGCAGCAACATCTGGATATGCCAGGCCAGCCTGCTAGGGTGTATTTGCCAGATGCCACTTTAATGCTTTAAGGGGTAGCACAATGGCACATTTTTTTTTTTTTTTTAAATGATTACTTTCCATTTTGTCTTAATATTTAAATCAGGTGGACAGCTTTATATTCAAGTGGCTATAGATTCAGGCACACATTAACACAATGAAAGGAAAGCAAATGACCCTTGTTTTTTTTTTTCCCCCATATTGTACAAATGCTATTATAATGATCAACACAATACAAAGAATATGGTATTTAACCTTCTTACTCAGGCTCATCCCAAGTTGGGCCCAATGAACCTCCAGGGGGAGGAGCCTTTTAAAAGCCACTTCAGTCCTTCCTTCTCCTCCTGCCTCTCCTCCTGCTCTTGACTTACACAGACCACTGCTTTTTTGTACATCATTCCCAGATTTGTTATTCTCTATGACTTATTCCAAGATTGGACTTAACTGATAAAAGCTAAACATTCATTACGAGATTCTCTTTTATAAGGCAACATGAGACAGATTTGCTTCAGGGCTGGAAGTGGAGGTGGTTCCGTCTGCACCCAATGGCTGTTCTCTTGTTACTTCAAAGACACCAGGAGACATGACAAGGGGGTCATGTCTGAGTCCATTGGGGGAACCTTCCTTCCTCTTGGGTCAGACAGGTTGGGGGCGGGGATAGGAAGGGCCACATTTCATTCCGTTCGACCTCTATTTTTTAGGTACCTGGAGATGATAATGACAGCCAACAGAAACCCAGCCAAAGCTAGATAAGGCAACAAAAAGCTTCAATCTCTTCTCCAAGTAAACAAAACTAGTACAGTATATTATTTTCTTGTAAAATGTACCCCAGGAGAAGTAACACAAGAAGAGTTAAAGGGGGCCCTTGCTGAACACACTCACACCCCCCACACACACACACAATGAACCACATACTCTCTCACACACCCACACACAGAGAGCTACTCACACATACAAATGTCTACTATATACACACACAGGTCCAGGTTTCCCATCAAGTCTCCTGGCAGACTGCCCACCGAGAGGAGGTATGGGATAAGGCAAGGGGAAAACAAGGGACCAGTGTCTGGAACAAAACCAGCTGAGCCTTGAGTTGTGGAGTACTTAGGATGATATCTCTTCTCATAATAATCCAAGATGCAGCATTAGAGTTGGGTGTTGTTGGGTTGGAATCAACAAAAGAAGAAGAAAAATGAAGAACCCAAGGAGAATGGTTGGGATGGTTAAGAGCGCACAGGGTCTGGGGACCTGGGAGAGAGATGTCTGAGAGTTCACACAGAGACTAGGCCAGGAGAAAAAAGTGCAAAATCGAGGCAACGTGTTTGCAGTCTTTCTCGTTTGTTTTGGGTGCTGTCCTTGCTTCGGCCCTCAGCAGTGGGAGCCGCGGTCTTGCTCTAGCTTAATGGTTAGGGTGGGCTCCACCGCCAGAGGGGCCCCGTTGGTGTAGTGGGAGGTTTTGTAGGTGATGGAGTGATCGGTCTTCTTAGCCGCATAGCGGAAGCGGTGGTAGTGGAGCACCAGGGCCAGCGCGACGGAGACCAGCACCAGCACGGCGCCCCCGGCGGCTATTACGTAATACCAGTAGGCTGGGATGGGCTGCACAGGCACCGTGTCCACTGTGGGCTCGGTCCCTGGTAGAAGGGTGCCCCCTGGTGGAGAGACACAGAAGAGTGTTGCTAGACTGAGAGCATGCAGACTAATCAAAAAAATTAATTAAAAAAAAAAAAAAGAAAAGGAAGAAACACACACATGCTTTGGAGCGGACTGGGTAGGGGACAGGGGACTAAGGTGGTACTGATTATCTAGTATGTGCCAGGTACTTTTAAATGGTATTATTACCTATTCACAACTTCATGAGGTAGGTACTGTTAGACCCATTTTACAGATGAGAACACAGAGAACCAGAGAGGTTAAATTAATGGCGATACAGCTAGTAAGTGCCACAGGAGGGCATTCAATTTTATGATTACAAAGCCTTTTTCTCTGTTTAACTACAAAGACTATAATATAAAGAAGCATAATAATACACACACACAAACACACATACACACATAGGTAAATGATGCTGAAATGACTTTTGGGATTCAGTAAAGCTGATTCTCCAAATGGGTAGAAATACCACATTTGGTCTGGCTGGCCAGCTTTCTCAAACAATGTATTAATTAGTCTGGCTAGACTTGAAGGTAAATTCCACTTAGCTTGCCAAGCCTTCTGTGCCCACTGAAATCAGCCTGATCTTGTCTAAACAGGTCAATTACCACTGTCAAGCAATGACTAATAATGCATCTTCATTTTTTAATTGGTTGAAGGATTTAAAAAGCAGATTGGAAGGGAAGCTGCAACAAAAAATGTGGGCACAAAATGATAGTGGGTATGTGAGAGCGAGAGTGAGTGAGAGCAAAGAGAGAGATCATTCCTAATCGTAGAAAAGACCAAGCCTGAAAGAGAAGGTAGGAGGGGACTTAGCAGGCAAGCCCCTTCACTGGCCAGCCTCTGGTTGCCATGGAGATGATGTAGTAGATTTAAGCCCAGGGTAACTCTGGGGAAAGACTGGCTAGCATCCCATTCGATGCAAAACAGTGCTACAACTTGATTCTCTCAAAGATTTACATCAGATGAAAATCTGGCTCAGAATGGGGTGAGGAGCTTTTGAGCTTGCCAAAACCAGACATGATCTTTACTTCTGAAAAATGATGTATGCTTAACCTATGAAAAATCCCTCCCTAGCTGCTTGCATCAAGCAGTGGTGGCCAGGAAGATGTGTCTTCTCTATCCATGGAATGCTCCCAGATGGGAGCCCAGGACAGGAAGTACCTTTGTGGATTGTTGGTCCTACTCTGTGGGTGTGTCTCTGGTTGAGATGCAGGCAGGGTTCACATATGTTTTCATGCCTCCCCCAGGAGCCTTGGGGTTCCTTAAGCAGAGGAACTCACTCTCCTCTGGGTTTCCACCTAAATCTATTCACAAAGGAAGTGCTTATAAATGCTTGTGAAGAAAAGACTGAACTGAAGCTAAAACGTCTATTTCTGAGTTAATGTTCTCCAACTCCTTTGGTTCACTGAATGCCAGAACTCTTCTCTAGGATGTGGGAAATAGCTGAAGGTGGGGTCAGACTTTATACTGTCTTCTTAGAGATGGTACACAAAGAAGAACATTTTCCTTGGAACACTTTCAAAGCCTGTGCACTTTCCCAGCCCCTCGCCACTGGTCGCTCCGGGTTTAGGGATGCCCCTCTGCTAAGATGCAGGGTTCATTTTGATTCAATACAGGAGGGGCTTCAAGGAGGACGTGTTGCTCATCACCTCCCCTCCCAGCAGCCACATCCACAGCCCCTGGGGTGGAAAGATCCTAGAATCCCAGGGTCCCCAAACACCACTTCCTCATCCCTGTATCCTCCCATGCCACTGCCCATTCTCTTTTCCTTTGTCCCCAAACCACCTGAGGGCTTTCTATCGTCTTTTAATAATTGACATACTGGGTTGAGAAAGGACTCCCTCTTTTTTTTTGCCATACTGGAAATTATGCATAGAAACAGGAAAGGAGAAAGCGAGGCGTTGAAAACGGCTCCTTGAAATGGCCAACTTGTGAGTCACAGTGAACTGGTGTCAACTCATTATTCAGGTCACCGAGAGTATCTGCTGCCTGGCAACCACCCTGCCATTGGATTTTCATGCAGGCTCCCAAGAATGCACAGGAAGCAACAAAGTGTGCCAGGATGGGCCCAAAATTCTCCAGAACCATCCCTCCTTGCCCCAAAGGGCTGGATTTGATGCCACAATAGGGGCTGTCCTCTAATGAGGCTAGGGCTCCCCTGTGAGACAAAAGGAGGGTGATAGATCCACAGGGAGAGGAAGACCTGACCAGACCACAGAGGGAGAAGCACACATTTTTGCCAAACACCAGACAGACAACTGCCACGTTCCTTCCATCACAACAAATTCTCGGTTCAAAGGTGTGCTTTCCTTCAGCCAACATGCTGGTTTTCAGCATTAGATACACTATCCAGGACTCAAATTGCTGGAGTTGGGGAAAGCTGAAGCTTTAATGCACTGTTAGAGTGTTTCCTATAGTAGAAACAAAGAGGGGGCCCAGGAGAAAGAATATAGGGAGCACACTGGAGGAAGCTTAAGTGATACTATGTAGATGATGGACCCAGAATCCAAGCAATTGCTCTGCTTTGGGAGACACGCTCCACGTGAGGTAGACAGGCCCCTTCCTTACCAATCCCTCCCACCCAAACTATCAACAGGCGGAAAAACGTTGTGACAAAAGGCATTTGAAGGACATTATATTGGTTCCTTAAACATTTTCACTGTACATTTGTTTGGAGAAATGAAAAGAAAAAAACCACACTATGTGAGTTTGTGTTTTAAATGATAAAGGGGTTAGAAAAGAGAGGACACATTAAAAAACCCTTCTCTCATCCTCCACAAACAATTTTGTGGTGATCTGTAGTTGTGGGTCAGAAGTTTCTCTCAACATTCTCTCACTAAAGTGAGAGTCCCCAAGGGTAGGTGGATTAAGCGGGTTTGGAATGTGGCACTGTGGCAGCCTTTAAGGGTTGTGTGCTAATGAGACCGTGCCAGTCAGAGAAGAGGAGGTGATCAATTAATAGGGTTTAAATCCCATCTGAAGCAAAGCACCTCCACGGATAACAGATAACAGTAGCCGTCCAACGAATGTCCGGTGGGTGGATGGACAGATGGATGAATGGATGGACAGACAGATAGAGGAATATATTTTGGACAAACTTTCAGAATCCCTGGAAAATACTGATAACCCACTGCACTTCACAGCACAGTAATACTTGGAAAGTGAGCGCTAGATACTGCTCTGCTAGCTCATATCATGCCCCTATGGGAAACTAGAAAAAGGCACCCCCTTTGGGCAGATGCCACCTGCGCCAGGTGCCCTCATTGGTGTAGCTAGATTTTAGCCCCACTTGCCTCCTCGTCCATATAGATTGGGTGGCCATTGCTTTACAACAAGGGAACCTGGACTAGGTACTCCCAAATGGGAGAAAGCCTTTCCCACAGCTTGTGATGTGATGACTTGAAACCCTTAGACTATTCAAGCTTCTGTAGGTTGGTCATATCCTGTTTTTAAAAAATCTTGTTTCCAAATTGGAAAATGCTTCAACTTCTCAATAACTTTTCATTAATTTCCATTCCCTACCTAATTCTCCAAAGAAGAATTCATGCCTTTGAATTTTGGTGTTGGCAAAGAATATTGACTACACTACCAGAAGAATGAACAAACCTGTCTTGGAAGAAGTACAGCTTCTTAGAAGTGAGGATGGTGCGACTTCATCTCATGTACTTTGGACATGTTACTGGGAGGGACCAGTCCCTGGAGAAGGACATCATGCTTGGTAAAGTAGAGGGTCAGTGAAAAAGACAAAGACCGTCAACAATGAGATGGCTGCAACAATTGACTCAAACATAGCAATGATTGTGAGGATGTTGCACGACTGGGTGGTGTTTTGTTCTGTTGTAAACAGGATGCTGTAAGTCAGAACCAACTGGACAGCATGTAACAACCACACCACCTAATTCTCCACAGTGTTTTCATTGTCTGAGATAATGGGAGACAGATATTTAAATAGTCAATAACTCCAAGTGTATTTGCAAGGCTGAGAAGGCTTCCACCTGTAAAGTTCCGAGCTCTCTGGACAAAGGGGCAATGAAAATGCAAAGATTTTTGAATTTTGAGAAACAATAAATTCTGAGAAGCTACACAGGGGAGAAAATAAGGAAACAACTACACAGTAGGTAGTGGTCCTCTTGTGAATAGAAGGTTATTGAATGAGTCAACAGTGGGCAATGTAGCCATAACAATAGCTACAGTGAGTAGACTTTTCCCGTGTGCCAGGCATTAGGTGATGAGTTGCCTGGAATCTTCTTGTTTATTCTTCATGACAATCTAGGAATTACCTACTATTATTGCCCTAATTTTCATACGCAGGACCTGAGGATATGAGAGCATGAAAGTTTTCTCTGGAGAAAAATTGAGGAGGAGGGCAGGGAAGCACTCAGTGAAACCAACCCAAAAATGGCTCAGAGCCCTCAAAGGGTATTTTTATTGATGGTAAACTGCAGAACCAGGACTAGAACTGATTGGATGGAATGTTCAGCCTATGCTCTAACCCATGGGTCAGCTAACTACGGCCTGTAGGCTAAGCCTGCCCTCTGCATGTTTGTGTAAATAAAGTTTTATTGGAACACAGTCATGCTCATTTGGTTAGGTATTGTCTTTGGCTGGTGTCACGTGAAAATGGCAGAGTTGAGAAGTTGTAACAGAAACTGTCCCACAAAATCCTATGCCATGAAGTCTCAAATATTTACCACCTGGCTGCATACACAAAAAGTTCACAGACAGTCTCGCTCCACTAGTCTAACCAGGGAGAAATGGAACAGGAAGCCGCTCTCCTCCTTCAGCCTGAACCTGTCTGAGGTCTCCTGTGTTACGGTCAAGACACGGGCTCAAGGAAATCACTGAAAAGGCAAAGCATCTCCTACCTCTAAGTTTACAAAGCGTCAGCTGGACCTGGAGGAGTCACCCAGGTTTCCAAAGGCAGCATTTTTAAAGATACCAATGGTGAGTCTTCTCTCTTGGTGGCGTTGGGGGAGGGGCTTATTTGCAAATAAGA